GCAACAAATTTTGTAGCTTCCCCGATCGGGCACGCCATACCACAAATTTGCTTACCCGAATCGGATAAATATTTACTCAAGATTTCAAGAAACATCCATGATTATTATGGTTATTTAACTTTGGCCTTCTGCATGCACGCAGTCCTTTATTTGGCCACAAATATAGTTGTGCTTACAATTACACAATCGGTCGGTAGGTCTGAAATTTTTGTTTTGTTTTGGGGGCAAGTTTTTGTGCTGATTGAATGGCATGAATGGGGATGACAGCTTCCCAAATTACGTGTGTCTCAAAAAGTGATGAACACCTGTGTAACAATGTCGAGATTTTGTGAACAGGTGGGATACAGGATGTACCTTTATGTTTCCAGAAAAGTGTAGTTGTCAATGAGTCCAACACCAGATGTTCACCAAGACCAGTTGACCCATCGATAAAACTTGGCTAGTTACATGTACTCGGAATGTGGGGGCGGAGGCCAGTGCACCCACAACTTGTCCTTTTTTCATGAAATAATATTTCTTTGAATTGAAGGGGTGGAACTTTTATAAGAAATTGATATTAGTCATGGGTTTACATCATTTGGTTTTATTCTGATTGGTCAATGGAATTAGTCATTAACGTAGAGCAAAGTGATGTAACTTTACTGCAAAATTTACTTACGACTTATATTCAGCAACTATGTTAATATAGTAGATTTGTAGAGTTTAATAACCCTGAAAGTGTCTGGAGAAATCAAGTTGGAACTTTGCGAGCAGACAGCTAAAGTCTGATGAGACCAGTTTCGATGCTTTAAGCCTGTGAAGTGTTTTTGTGTTAAGAAAATACTTGTTTTGTCTTGGGCAAACAGGAGGATTCTCCACATCAGTTCCCTGTTTGACTGTGAGAAGCTTTGCATGAGGCAAAGTTTTGAGAATAAAAGAAACCTGTATTCTTGACCAACTTCTGTTTGTCAACAAACACTTCTTTCAAGCCTGAATTGTCAGTGCACTTGGGCCAGGATGATTGCTTCAAATTCAGTTACTGAGACTCATAATTCAGTGCTACTAAAAACATCTCATGACAAGTTAAGAAGTCAAAGTTGTTACAACCTGTCTTAATCTATGTCAAAATTTCTACAGTTGAATATTCACAAGAATTATGGATATTTCACACAGTGCTACTCAGGCAACCACGACAGCAAATGGCCAACAATGTCCGTGTATCGTGGGGTAAGTGTGCATGATGCATCTAGACCAGCTGGCGATAAACCTTGCGCCACAGCAGGAAATTTGTTGAAACGTGCTTGCTTCACGTACGAGCAAAACAACCTCAAATTAAACTCATGATCACAGGAAATACATACATAAATAAGATACCAAGTTCTGTGAATTAACTTGCAGAAAACCTCTTGCAAAATCGATGCTTTTTGCAACCAGCAGCTTTAGCCTGTTGCATGTGATATGCATGCACGGCCGATGTAGAGTTATCAACCAGAATCTACATGTACTGTATAGACTGGTTATGCTTGCTACATTTCCACCACAAGTTCTTTTGCATGGGCGCGGTGCAGCGGGAACCAGAGCAGCTTCATTTAACGCATTGAGCTTTGTGCGCGTGATTTCACCACTGCGACAGCGAACGTGAACTGTTCGTGAAAGTTGGAAATTTATACCACTGCGTCATTTCAGTGATGAACAAGTGGTAAGCTTTGTCTAAATTTGCAAAATATTCGCCAATTTTTCTTGCCAGGTCAATGGAATAATAGCTAAAATTATAATTATTCACCAATTGGCGAGAATGGCAAATGGCAGCTGAAACCCTGGTAACCATAATGCAATTTCCAAATTCTATAATAGCAGCATAGCACAATTATCGTTGCTAATCTGTACAAGATTTTAATTTGCCGCTGTAGCAATGCAGTGGCTCAATCCGTACACACACTGATCTGCTAGTCAGATGTGCTAAGATTGATTGAACCCACTGGTTGTTGTTTTTTGCCCCATTTCCCCCACTTTATTTTCCTTATTTTCTCAGACAGATCATGTTTACTTTCTACACGTGTTTTTCTCTTCTGTTTAGCTAGATTCATCCCCTTGTAGACTGGTCTGGTTCCTGTTTCCAATGCACCTGACTTTGGGCACCAGGCATGCCAGGTGCCCGAAGATAAGTTGTTGTTGTACCTGTCCATCCACCGAAAACCCAAAGTTTTCCTTCAACCACGTCCATCGTGTGATGACATCTTGGTCCAGGCTCCTCCCCTGATGTCGTTGGTTGTGACCAGGTCATGGCAGACGTGTCCAGTGTCCAAAAGTCGCTCAGGCAGTTGTCGTACTTACTGTCTCCGTTTCCTCCGTGGACAAAAAGCTTGCCGTCCCAAAATGCACTTGCATGGTTTGTTCGGGCTGGAGGAACAACACCTGAGATGTCTACTTTAGTGCATTGTAGTGTCATCTCTAATTATGCAGATTTTAAAACTGAGAGTTCTTGGTTTAATGACACGAAAGACGTGCCTGACTGTCAACTCTCGCCATCTTGCCGAGGCTGAGCGAGTTCGCTTGTTTACATGTTACCAATGCGTACTATCTAGTACCTAGACCCAATCTCGTGCTGAAACGTGATACACTTATTTGTTGATCTAGCCACCTGCCTACTTACAGTGTATAGACTATTGGAGGCGCTCGCCAGAATTATTTAGCGAAAGTTGCATGCATTGGAGATCAATGGTGCACAAAACCAAATACGCGCCAATAGAAAACAGTGCAAAATCAGACCGAAATAGTGCCACCTGGTAACTCTCGGGAAGAGGTTGGCCGCCGTTTTTTTTCACTGAAAATTCAAGATTATGGTCAAAAAATAACTTTTCATTTCAATTTTATGGGGGCTGGCCACAAAATAATTCATTCGCCTTTCCCCGAAGATACTCCCCAAATAGTAGTAAAACTATGCGCTCAGCTCTGAATGTAGCCGCCCGCCTCTATCCAAAATAGGCCCGCAATTTGGGGCTTTATGTTAAAGAAACACCCGGAACTGGAAACGGTCAGTCCCAAATTCGGGATTTATAGAAATATTTCTAGGATCCCTCCTGATTATGGCATGTCTTATTGTAAAAACACTGTGGGATAACAAAATATGAATGAGCTCGCGCGCAGAAATACAATTACAGTATTACAGATACAATTGGTGGAATGCACCCCGAGGCCCTGGACCGGGAGGGGGTGCGTTGCCGCGGCTGTAATTAAGTCTATTATGCTATGCTGTTAAAATTTTGTTGGCTTTTATGATAAAAAACATAACTAAAAAGGTTAACTGTAAGGCTTTGCCTACAACA